ATGCCTTCTAGATCTACCTACCTATCAGGGCGCCAGTGGTGGTCTCACAATAATTGTGATGCAGCGTGGTGAAATCAGGCGCTCGTCAAAATAACTAAATAGAGCAACAGGCATTTTTTCCGCCAGTTTGGAAATTGTTATGGATTTTTTTTTTACGTATCCTCTTTTATGTCCGTATAAAAACACATTTCAATGTGAATTTTTATTGAAAGACCTTGATTAAAGGTACAAAATATGTCATTTTTCAGTTTTTTAAGGCTCTTCAGCTATTGCAGTTACCAACATTTGGTAGCCATTTTCTCGCTAATTTCACCACTAAAACCAGGGGACCTCACTTCCTTCAATCGCAAATATCTTGAATTCTATTCACGATAAATGGATATTTATTTCGTTGGAAGCAAGGCAAATAAATCTGCTTTCAGATGAAACTAATAACTCCATATGCCCAAAAATTGACGAGCGTCTGATTCCATCGCGTAGATACCTTATTGTTCTTGCTCCAGGCTGTGTCCCCACTCAATAGATGGGCTGGGCTCACGTTCGGCCCCCTTCCTTTGTTATCGCACAATCTCCTTCCTGCAGACCCCCTCAAGATGAATCAGAACTGACCGAATCTGACCACTGGTGGCCCGTAATTTGTCACCGGGCGCGATATGACAGGAATGTATAAGTGTGATTTCGTTTGCGTGATAATAGTTCGCGACGGAAATCTGTCGAATATTTTTGGTCTGGGCGTTATTGAGATGATATAATAGAACTCGACGGAAACCTGTTGAATATTTTTGGTCCGGGTGTTCGTTATTGAGATGAGATGTCCGTGGTATTGTGTCCTGACGTCATTTCTGTGTCTCGGGGTGCAGCGATTGTGAGGGGTTGTCTGTGATAGATTGGGTGTGATTAGGAGAGAGATATGGACCGCCTGTTCTTGTGCAGTTTTAATGGAAGGAGGGTGGGGGTGGGGGATACATACACACACACATACACACACACACACACACACACACACACACACACACACAGAGAGAGAGAGAGAGAGAGAGAGAGAGAGAGAGGGGGGATG